ACAAGAGTTACGCTGGCTCACCTACTTGCAGACCGACTTGCGAGAGCGGCCTCGTTCTCCTCCAGTTATGTACGTAGACAACAAGGCCATGATTGCCTTGTGTCAGGAGCACAGACTGGAGCACAGAACGAAGCACATCGCTTTGCGTTACTTCCTTGCTCGAGAGTTGCAGCAGCGTGGTCAGCTTCGTCTTGCTTACGTGGCCACTAGGGCCAACACTGCTGATATATTCACCAAGGTACTTCAAACTGGTGATCATCAGCGCTTCTGTACTGTTTTAGGCCTTGTGCCTACTTTGCCTCACTTGCTCACAGCGTGACTTTGCTTGTACTGTGATCTGTATATATACCTGCATGCTTACTCTTGCTAGGGTATGATCACTGTACTGTTTGTTCACTTTTATATATAACTCTGCATGTGAACTGGCCTTGTGGCCATTTGCTTCTGCTCGGAATGTGTGGTGACTTCGTGATCCACACCAAGCTTGCTTTGCTTTTCTTGACTGGTCTTGTGACCACTTGTTCTCCCCCACTTTGCCTATGGGGGTGTGTCAGAATGTTATAGTGCTTACTTTGTGTAGGCTATAGTGGCCCATAAGGGGTAGAACCCAATTAGGATTAGTACTTGTACCCAACTCATTCATAGTTCATTCATTCTCGTTCGTTATTATGACAGATCTTTCCGTATCGTCACGTCGGCTCCCGTCAGGTTGCAGCGCCAGCTGCGAAATGTGTGGATGATGACTAGCATTTCTTTGTCGTGAACCAGGTAATTACGCTTGGCTGGCTGCATCTTGCATGACTTGTACGCAATGGGTTGCAGCCCCTTTTCGAAGTCATGCAGAAGGAAGGCGCCGATGGTGAAATGGCTGCCGTCCGTTATGACTTCAAATGGTCGTGACGGGTCCGCGAGCAGAAGGATTGGCAACGACTCAAAATGTTTCTGAGCTTGTCAAAGGCCGACTGCTCTTTCTCCCCCCATGAGAAGCCTTGTGCAGAAGGTCGGTTAATGGCTTGGTTACCCTTGCCATATTGGGTACAAACAGGCGGACATAATTCACAAACCCGAGGAAATTCTGTAGCTCTATGACGTTCCACTGGAAAATTGCCGTCACCTAACGAGGGTGAATTTTAATACCCTCCTCTGAGACCACGTGCCCCAGGAACCCCAGCTCCGGCTTCAGGAACTCGCACTTACAGCCCTTCGTAATCGGCCCATTCTACTGTAAGCGCCGAAACACTTCCTCCAAATCTTGGAAATGATCTTCTCCAATTTTGCTGTACACCAGGATATCGTCCAAATAAACAATGACTTTCTTGTCAAGAAGGTCCAAAACACGCCGTTCATCTTCAGGTGGAATGTCGAGGGCACATTTGTCAGACTGAACGGCATCACTGTATATTTGTAACTGCCGTAGCGTGTGTGAAAAGCAGTCTTCAAGTAGTCGTCGGCAAACACGCCAATCTGGTAGTATCCTCCTCGCAAATCGATTTTCGAGAAGAAGCGAGCCCCGCGAAGCTGATCTAGCAGGTCGTTTGTCCCGCGGTCGGGCAAGGCGACTTTATCGTGACCTGATTCAGTGCTTGATATTCGTATCTTCGGCGTGAACAGTATCAGGGCTGCAAACGGTCACGAACTCGACACTTTGGCGAGGAGGTAATCCAGCTGGCTCCTCAACTCGTCAAGCACCGGTTGGCTAAGCCGCCGCTATGTCAGGGTAGCTGGTTGCGCACATGGCTCCAGCTGGATCATGTGGTCTTTTGGTCGTTGATGTGGAAGGCCGTCGGGGAGGTCATCCGCGAAGATTTCGAGATACCTTCGGATAATGCTTGCCATATCCTTGGGTACAGTAGCGCATAATATGTCGATGCCAGCGATTTGGTCGGACGTTGCCACCTCGTACAGATGTACGACATAATCTTGTGCTTCCGCTGTAATCGCGTGCTTCATGGTGACCGCGTTGACACGTGTCGTCAACGACTCCGGCTCCATCCATTTCGGAAGCATCACTCGCCCCGTGTTGCTGGGCATTATGCATGCCCCCATTATTCAGTCGATCATCAGATTCAATCGCTGCAGCCAATCTCGTCCCAACAGCGCATCGCAGCCATCCAGCGTCCCCACAAGCATCTTCATGCTGAACCAGAAATCGTCGCCACACTTCGTCCGATTTTTTCGCGCTTCGTCGCTTATCGCCAGCGGTGTCTCATCCACTTGTCGTGCATTGATCTCTGGCGGACACCTGTCCAACTTCACTCCGTTTTTTTTACCGTTGACAAGTTGATGAGGCTATGACTAGCCGTGCCGTGAACGAATATTTTTTTATGTTATACCCAGTAACCCTCCCCACAACTAGCACAGGGTGATCCACGTGCTCATCCACCTTATTCGTCCGGTTGTGGTCGATAGCTCGTATCGGTACCACTATTTGGTGTGGATAGTGATTGCGAGGTGACTGGGTCGCGTCAGTAGGGCGCCCGTCCGCTACTGAATTGTCTCTTTTCCCGACCCTTCTCCCTTGTTCTTTTATCCCCGTTTAAACTTCGGGCAGTCTCTCCTTAGGTGGCCCAGCTAGTTGCATACAAAGCTCGGCCCTAAGGCTCAGCTCGGAGCATCCACGCCGTTGATTGTGGGCTGCTGAGTCGTTCCACAAAATCGAGGGCACTCCTGGGAGCTCGATCCCACCCACTGCATCAGCGCATCCATTGATTTAGTTAGCTGGACGGTGTCAGTAAAGTCGCGTGGTCACGTGGTCGGACCTCGTACTGTATCTCATACTTGAGGCCTGTCACGTATTGATCCAACCGCTCCGCATCGCTCATGTCGTCCACTTGGTTGGCAAAATTGCAGAACATCGCCGTGTAGTCTTGGACCAAAGTCAGTTGCTTCTAAACACGCAACTTCATGCGGGCAGAATTGTCACGGAATATATTTGTATAAGCAATACATTCGGTTCCATGCTTGTAAGGGTGTAGTTGGGTTATTAGATGTATTGTAGAAGTGTGTTTGGTTGCGTGGGTAGTGTCGCGAGGTTGTTCACCCAGGGACCAGCGAGGCGCGCGCAAGGACAAGTTCAAGAGACATTGGGCCGATGGAAATTAGGATGACCAATCCTTTGGTTTTGCAAACTGAGCCCAATGTTACTTGCTGGAAACTGTCCGACACAAGTTTGTTTCTGGTTCTCTTGTTTGTTCGTATCATATACAGGTCAAGTGTTACCATTTTAAAGCTACTGAAGCTAGGTGACTGCGCCACTGTGGGCGGCCTGCGTGTGGGAGCCTGAATCTCTAACAAACGAGAGAATCAGATCAGGCACAATGGACTGCCATGAGCTGAGGTGGCAGCGGACGTACTCGCGTCGGGAGATACCGCCGCTGCGAAGGATGCGCTCAAAGGAGCGAGGAAGATCGCTAGGTCGCTCGCCTAGGAGAGAAGCGGATCGGGTGGATCGGATGGCAACCAGCAACGGATGGCGCGGCAAAGGCGAGCTTGGTCTACAGATGAGATCGGCGCCAGGACCACAGCCGTCAAAGAGCGATCCCTGGGATCTGGCAAGAGGCCATCGGGGCGCGGGAGTAAGGCATCAGGAGGATGCTGACGAAACGGACTCGGTGATGTTGGCAAACGAGGCCGGCGGCGAGGAGACAGCGGAGGATGATCCAAAGGACGCGGGAGCAGATCGCTCGCCGCAGGACATGCACGAGGGAGGCGAGAGGCGCCGTGGAGAGAAACGCGGAAAGGCGACGGGATCAAGCCGCTCGACAGATGAAGTGCATGGGAGTAGCGCAGGTCGCCGCGGGAGCGCAGAGGCAGATTGTTACGCTGGCGAAACACGCGGGAGTGGCGAGAGGCATCCTGGGAGTGCGGATGCGGATCCTTATGCTAACGAAACGTGCGGGAGTGGCGAGAGGCACCGCGGGAGCGCGGATGCGGATCGTTCTGCTGGCGAAATGCGCGGGAATGGCTCGAGGTGCCACGAGAGCGCGGATGCAGCCGGTTCGACGGGTGAAATGCGCGGGAATGATGTGAGGCGCCATAGGAGCGCGGATGCAGACGTCAAGAAAGAATGAGAGCATCCAAAAACACCAAAAGGACTACCATGCGCAGGTATTCACAAAAAGAAACAAGTTTGCGGAAAGTTGGATGAATGGTTGGGAGGGATCGGAAACACTATGAGATGTTGTGAGAAGTGCACATGTTTGCAAACCATTTCGCAGACGCATGCTGATTGGCCGTGCTACTCTGAGACAAGCGCGTGCTGACTGGCTGCGCTACTTTGAGACAAGCGCGTGACGATTGGCCGCCCGGTAGTTTGGCGTGCCGGGATTTTTCATCCTTCTTACAAGTTCAACTCGATATTATAAATATGGGTTCGTTTTTAGGCTTCTTACAAGTTCCACACGATATTTCAAAGCTGGGGTGTACTTGTGGATAAAGAAAAGGGTGTGACACGTCAGTCCGAGCCCATCCTCATGACGGTTCGGCGGGCGAAACGCTTGAGGATGATGTGAGGCGTCGCGGGAGCGCGGATGCAGACGGTTCGGCGGGCGAAATGCCTGAGAATGACGCGAGGTGCCGCGGAAGTGCGGATGTAGCCGGTTCGACGGGCGAAATGCGCGGGAATGGCGCGAGGCGCCGTAGGAGCGCGGATGCAAGCGGTTCGGCAGGCGAAATGCCTGAGAATGATGCGAGGCGCCACGGGAGCGCAGATGCAGATCGCTCGCTAGGCAGGTTGCGCGGAAGTAACGCAAGGCGCGGCGAAAGCAAGGAGGCTGAGCGTGCGCCAGAAGCCAGCCGTGAGGGAGAGAGGGGGCGAGACGCGTGTGCAGGGTTATATTGCTCGCTTGAGCCGAGGCGCAGACATGAGGGCAGAAGGCGCATGACGATGGGCGGATGGCGATCGCCAGAGAGAATGGAAAGGGACGAGGAAGATGATTACGAGGAGAGGCGTGCGCAGCGAGTGCCAGCGCGAAGGCGGAGCCAGGAAAGGGAGATGCATGCTAGGGGCAGCGAACATTCGCCGCTGTGCATCCCAGGGGCAGATGCGAGAATGCGCGGTGGAGGAAGTAAAGCGCACCTGCGAGCAGTGGCAGAGGGCGCGAAGGAACTTGGTGGAGAGGCCAGAAACAGGCAAGAGAAAGAGAACATGGGGAAGGGAGCAGCAGAGGTTATGGGAGAAATCGCCAGAAGAGGATACAAAGAGTGAGGAAGAGGACGATGAATACACTCAGACACGGCAACAGCATGGTAAGCAAGAGAGAGAAGGTAGAGCGAGCTGGAGAGCCGGCAGGTCATTCGCCAGTGCGGCGGGAAAATGGAAACAGGGGGCAAGGTGGTGGTGTCAGCAGACGTGCGTCACCGTATGCCTCGGGAGAGGAGGCAAGAGCGCGTCGAGGGGAGGGGGAGGAGTATGAGCGAGGGAGATCAGTAGGACGAAATGCACATGATGTATGGGAGAGAGAAAGACAGAGAGGGAGAGCTGAGGAGCAACGTGGGCAATGGGGAGAGTGAGCCAGATGAAGAATGGGGCAGACGAGCACGTCAGGACGGGGAGCAAAGGGAGAGGCCCAGAGAGGAATGGAGGGGTAGGCTGGAAGGCCAGAGAGAGGGATGGAGGGGCAGGCTAGAAGGCCAGAGAGAGGGATGGAGGGGCAGGCTGGAAGGCCAGAGAGAAAGTGGTGAGAAGGGAGGGAGGAAGGAAAAAAGAAAGGAGACGAGAAGGAGCGATGAAGAGCATCGCAGAAGAGGGGAGAGGTCGCAAGAAGGGGGGACAGAGAATGAAGAGGAGGAATATGAGTATGTTCTGGATCGGCGCCGATGCGGTAAGCAGGAGCGGCGTGAAAAGGAATTATCCCCTGAAGGAAGAGAGGGGTATGAGGGAGGGCAAGAGGGGCGTAGGGAACCTGAGGTGGAGGAGAGGAAGAAGCAGGACAACAGAGGGCAGAGAAGGAGAGATGAGGGACAGCATAGGCGACAAGGGAGGATGTATGACACAGAGAGCATTGATGGAAAAAGGTGTGACAGGCAGCCGCGCCAAGGATCAGGCTGAAGGGAGGGGCGCTGGGAACAACATTCCCCTGAAACGAGGGAGAGATCAGGGTAGGGATCGGAGAGATATGAGGAGGCTCGAGAGAGAGAGGGGGGAAGGAGCCCAAGTCCAACATGGCAGAGAAGGCGGCAGCAGTCGTGGGTAGGCGCTGGGGGAGCGAGGGCAGCCAGGGAAGGAATTGAGCGAGTGCTGTATGGGACAGAGTCAAGAAGCAAGGAGCTGAGGGAGAGGAGGGGAGAGAGTAGTAGGAGGAATGAGATCTCATGAACTTGGGAGACGAGGAGGTGGAGTGTGCAGGCCCCACCTCAGGTGGAGGTGCCGGTGCACTTTACGGGGGGAGCAGGATCAGGAACCAACCTGAAGAATTACCTGATGCAGATCGCAAATGTGAAGTACCGCTGCGATAGAAGCGGGATGGACCCGATAGAGTTTTTCTTAAGCCTACCGAATACGTTGGGGGGCGAAGCTGAAACGCTGTACCGAATGAAGTTGCCGGAGTGGCTAAGGCGGGCAGAGGAGGATGGAGATGATCCCACGATGCTGTTCCTTGAGCGACTGAGAGAACAGTTCCCGGGCCACACGGCCGACCGTATCCGAGAGTTTCAGGAGTTTAGGCGGGGTGGGGTGGAATCCCTACTCACATACTTTGGGAGACTCACTAATCTAGCAGAGGATGTGGCCTGCACGGACAGCAGCATGTTGATTAGCAAGTTTTTGGGGGGTTTAGATGGAGGACTGAGTGGAGGAATGAGAATGAGAGTGTATGAGTTGGGAGCTGAAGCAACGCTGGAGGAGGTTTTCGAACTAGTAGAGAAAGTGGAGCTTGCGCAGAGACGGTACGAGGCGTACCTGCCGAGGGTGTCAGCGAAAGGGCGGCCCAGCTGGGCTGCAGCGATGATAACCGAGGACGGGGGTGGAGAGGAGCAGTGGCAGGAGAGGCAAGCAAATACACGTACGTGCCACAGGTGCAGGCAGGAGGGGCATATCAGGAGGGAGTGCAAGAACTGTAAGGTGTGTGGGTAGCACGGCCACCACCGAAGTAACTGCACGGACGCACCGACCTATGAGGAGTGTGGGAAAAGGGGGCATCATGTGATGGACTGTTATCAGAAGACAGGTGAACCAAAGAAGTCAGCCGAGGAGATAATAAACCAGCTTGGGAGGTTACGGGCTCAACTGCAGGTGTTAAGAGGAAAGAAAGAGACAGGGTGTTACGAGAGGGAGGACGAGGAATAGGAGCCAGAATGCTCCTATGCGGTGCTGCGTTGCCATTAAGATATGGGGCTGCACAGTGGGGGCAGGGACTGACGAAGGAAACAGGTGACTAAGGAAAGGGGCAGGCCAGCAGCAGCGGAAGCGGATGAGCAGGACGAGCAGGTGGGGGCAGTAGCGTGTCTACCAGCAGCAGCGGAAGTGGAGGAGCAGGACGAGCAGGTGAGGGCAGTGAAGAGAGGGAGGAAGGAATGGCTGAATAGGGTAAGCGTGGGAGGGAGTAATTGGCAGCAACTGCTAAGGACAGTAGAGTTATTAAGGGAAATTGGGGCAGGGAAGAAGACCGGTGGGACGGTGAAGGAGCGGATAAAAGAAGAGAAGCAAGCGCAGGCAAGTAGGATGGCGGAGCAGCATGTGAGGAAGATGCGGGAAAAACATACAGAGCTGCTGGGGGAAGGAGTGGTAAAAGAAGCCATGCGAGGAACCGAGACAGATTGTGACAAGACTCTGAAAAGAGTTTGCAATGCAATGCAAGCCATGGCCCGGCTCGCGGCAAATGAAGCAACGTCCATCCCTGTCGCGACGCCACTTGTTCCAAGAGCGTTCGCCATTGCCTCGACCACGGTTATTCTGGTTGTACCGCTGGGGGTAGGAGGTGGTACGATCGGGGCGACTCTTTTTCATTGCCGCCACAATTTGAGCGGCAGACTTTACCGTCTTATCCTCCACCACCTCCCCATATTTAATCTTTAGGGCCACATTAGCCACGTCAAAGCCGCGTTGGTCAGCGGTGAACAGAAACAGAATCTTTTCCTCGACCTCTTGTTCAATCTCTTTTAAATAGAGAGCCGCTTGTTCGCTTCCCTCGGAAGGCAAGGCACTCAACGCATGGCGAGCAATGATTTGAATTCTTTCAAAACCAAACATTTGAGTACGAACACCGTAGCTCTTAACGAGAGCAGATCGCAAATGCGGGCGTGCTGGAGGAATAGGAACGAGTGCTGATGACGAGTGGGGGGTGGGGGCGTGCGGAAGAGGGCGAGGGCCGTTACCTTCGTTAATTTCCTCGAAAATGCCACGCTCGCCTTCTTCCTCGTCCGTGGCCGCCTCGGGAGCCTCGACATGGCGTGTTGCTGGGCGAAGGTTCTCAGGATGAGCCGGCCTCCCGTTGGCGTGGTTGCGCTGGAGCGTCGACAAAAGCTCTGTCATTTGGTGAAGTGCGTCGACGTTGTGCGCCGGGTTGCTAACATTACGACGCTCCATACGGTCGCTCCGAGAAGGTGTAGCCCGAGCGTTCGCTGCCGAAGGAGAAGCGGGGCGTTCCATAACGCGTCTTGCAGGGGCGCCAGAAAGTTGCGCCAGAATCTGGAGCAAATTCGCCTGTGCAGTGTTGTCTAGACTCTCGAGAATCGCGGAGAAATCTGGACGAGCTGCTGCACGCGCGGTCTCGATTTCGTCCAGATTCTGATGCGACGGGGGCCGCGAATTTCTCCCAGGCGAAAGATTCGCCACGCGCGCTGCTGACGCTGGCGCGCGATCTCCCTGTCCCTCAGGTTGCGTGCCTTTCCTGACCTGACGCACGCGCGTGAGGGGCCTGAGGGGCCCGAGGGGCCTGAGGGGCCGAGACTGCCGCGGCCACAGTGCCAACCTCCGGATTTCCGAATCCGGGAGGCACCTCGTGGTTGACGCGACTGCCAGGGGCGTCATCATTACGCCCCTGGCAGTTTTCTGCTCCTGCTGCAAAAGTCGCGCCGGCAGGGCGAGATCTCGCTCGAGGTCCGTCCTGATTGCGTTCGTCGGGGCGACTGTTACGAGCACCTGCCGTGGCGATTGGAGCCCGACGGTCGTCGTCATTCCGGTTGGTTCCGCGATCTGCGGCGCCAATTAAATCAAGAGCCGTAACTGCCGCGCGATGTTCATTTCGAGGAGAGCGAGACCTCTCCCTTCCATAAGTTGAAGTTCTGTCTTCGTCTCGCCGAGGCGATCCACGCCTTGACGAACTTCTGGTGTTAATGCGAGTAGGAGGAGGTCGTCCGTTAACGGCAGAAACAAATCCGCTCGCCATTTCGTTAAGTCTAGCAGCAAAAACGTCTTGAAGGAGGGTTGAGGGTTGATGAGATCCAAGTCTAACCATAGGAGGGAGATTGTGCCAACTCAAATTGAGATGAGTGAAACGAGACTAGGTGGCAGGTCTGTGGACCTGCCGAAGGATAAGATGGGAATGCCTCTTTATTGCATTCCCCTTTTTCGAAGCTTGTCACAATCATTAAATTTAGAAATATATATCTAAATTATTCATATGTGAGGAGCATAACAACAGGAATGGCAGGCAGCTGGGGGCAAGAAGACACACGGATGGTAGAGGTGGAAGGTCCAGTGTGGGACAAGGCCCAGGAGCAGGGGCAAGCAGAGAGGGAGAACGCGGAGGTGGGGACATGGGCGTGCCTGCCAGCGGGGGAAGAAGTGGAGCAGACAGTGGGAGATGAGACGAGGCAGGAAGGAAACGAGGCCATGAAGACCGTGAGGTGGATTAAGGGAGAAACATGGGAAGATGAGCTGATGCCGCCAGCAGCCCAGGTGCTGACAAAGACCGTGGGCAGGCACGAGCAGCCTCTGCAGCAGGGCGGCACAGAGGACAAAGGCAATGAGGGAAGTGGGATAGGAAGCCTACTTGCAGAGGAGGAAGAAGGACACTTTGGCAATGCTGCCAAGCACGAAGAGATGGAAGACGAAGAAGCTGAGGGGATTGGGACTACGGGTGCTGGCGAAGAAGAGGGGAGAACAGACCGGGGGCCACCAGACCCACACGGCAATGGTGCAGAGCAGCCGAATCAGCCGGGAAGTCCTGTGACTCGGGCCCAAGCAGCTCGAGCATGAGCACAGGAGGGGGCAGGTAGTGGCTGAGTACAAAGGAGGGAACAAGGGAGCAGGAACAAGAAGGAAGTGGGGATTAGAGGGAGAGGGCAGCAAGAGTGAAAGGATAGGAGCAGGTGACGCAGAAGTTTCTGACAGCTGTCACGGAATATATTGGTATAAGCAATACATTCGGTTCCATGCTTGTAAGGGTGTAGTTGGGGTATTAGATGTATTGTGGAAGTGGGTTTGGTTGCGTGGGTAGTGTCGCGAGGTTGTTAACCCAGGGACCAGCGAGGCGCCCGCAAGGACAAGTTCAAGAGACATCGGGCCGATGGCAATCAGGATGACCAATCATGAGGTTCCGCGACCTGAGCCCAATATTACTTGCTGGAAACTGTCCGACACAGGTTTGGGATTATAATAGCCTAGGAACTCATTCATAGTTCGTTCTCTTGTTTGTTCGTCTCATATAGTGGTCAAGTGTTACCGTTTTAAAGCTACTGAAGCTAGGTGACTGCGCCACTGTGGGCGGCCTGCATGTGGGAGCCTGAATCTCTCTGGTAGTGGCTGAGTACAAAGGAGGGAACAGGGGAGCAGGAACACGAAGGAAGCGGGGATGAGAGGGAGAGGGCAGCAAGAGTGAAGGGACAGGAGCAGGTGACGCAGAAGTTTCCGATAGAATCCGAGGAGGATATGTGCTCGAATGGTTTCCGCAGGGTGGCGCCCCACTCCTTCCAAGTGCGTATCGTGGCCATCCCGAAGATCGATGCTGCTCAGTGTCTGACATGTATTGAAGCCACATTGTTCGCACGTGCTTTCCCTGCCAGAGTTCAATTGGATTGCAGCGTGCGTCACCACCACTCCAGCATAACAGTGATTCTGCAAAGTTAATGCGGGTGGCGTCATCATAAATCTGAGCAGCATCAAAGAACACCTCCACACCAAACAACCACGCGGAAACAGCGACAGACTTGTCACTCGGGTTGAACAGGGGCGGGCTCGTCGGCTTTATATTGATAGTTGTTGAGGCTTTACATCCTCATCCACTGCTTTCGTCACCGGTGTCAGCGTTGCTTCCGGCCGTTGCACCCGCCTTTCTTTTGCAGCATCCATCAAGTCCTCAAGCTTGCTGAAAACAACCTCATTTGGGGTGGACCTCCCACTTGACACATCCACCATGTGCGATCCTGTCGTGCT